CTACTACTTCTCCTTGTTTCTGTATAGTGGCTATTATAGCTCGTATAACAGCTTAGGAGAATTAAAAGAAGTTTATCTATGTTGGCGTATGGTTGCTTGTGTACTAATTCTTCGAATAGTTCCCAGAAGGGTCCAAACTCGGCTGGATTGCCGTTGAATTCTGGAATTTTTAGTTCACTGTTAAGCAGTCGTTGTTCAAGAGCTAAGGAGTTTAATGGTTGAATTAACGTCTCTTGAGTGTTAGCGTTCTTGGTTTGTTGAATTGTTTTGTGTAAGTTTGATAGCTATGTCTTGGCATTCTAGTTCGGTTGCTCTTTTGTCAAGTTGTTGGGCAATATTTGTGGCAAGGGACAGTTTTGTTTCTCCTTCTTTTTCTTCCCAGTACTTGTTAGTGTCTGTGAAACACCTTTTTTTCTATTTATTTTTAACAGCCCCCTTTGCAGGGTAATCGACAATGACAAGTGTAGTCGTGTCACTGGTAGTGGAAAAGCGGGCCGGGGTGTCCATTATTCTGGCGTTGGCAGTCTTCGTAGAGGGCCAGGAGTGCTCCCAGCAGAGTAGCCCCGGCCTGGTCGAGGTGGAACAATCGGGCCTCAGTTGCATTTTGACGGTTCTGTAATCGGTGTTACAATATATTACTGTACGTATGTGTATCGTAAAACTCACTTGTAGCATACAGAACCATTGGTGTAAATTCCCGACGGCTTGAATTGGCTGGTCAAATTCTTCAATGGGAATTATTAGAACTGGTCGGGGAAAGAGACGATTCGGCATGTTGCCATAGTCGGGCTTGTACCCCGTGGTTTTATATGTGTCGACCCATTGTTAGATCAGATAAGTATGTCGTCAAATGTCTTCCCTTTGCGGCTTCGGTCGTGGCATTTTGGCAGTGACTTTGTTACTGTACTTTTGACAAAACATAGAGTTGGTGTAATATAATTTTCGCAGAAGTGGTTATGTTTTGATTTCTCAAGACAATTGTAGTCTTATACGGTGTTTGGAATTTACTCTGTCTTACGAAATATGTATCTTACATTCATTGAGAGTTATGTTGTTGTTGTTTAGTTCAATTGTTTTGTTACAATACAACGTGCTAATGCTTATTTTGTTGCATCTTATGGGGCAGTCATTCCCTTTATGCTATATTTGGTCGCTGTCTGCTTCGTTCGCTATCAATTCATGTGGTTGTGTTCAGGTTTGTGTGCCGTTTGCTAGTCATAGTTTGAGTGCATTTGCACTCGTCTCTGTGTTTTTTTGGGGCCCGCAGCAGCGTGTTGAATAGTATAAAAAGCCGTATGTGTGTAGAGTGAGGATTGATAAGTAAGGAGCTATCGAAGTTTAAATAAGTGTTATCAGATGTGTTTTGTGAGGGGCTAGTGTAGTAGGTGCTAGTCTGTTTTGTACTCTTCTCTGACGTTATCGATTTGGAGAGAGCTATGGGGTTGTTCATGTGTATCGTCAGTGATGTAGCCTTTATTGTACTTCTTTCTCCTTATGGTGCATCGGTGGTTCAGTGGTAGAATGCTCGCCTGCCACGCGGGCGGCCCGGGTTCGATTCCCGGCCGATGCACCATGTTTTGATTCAGTGGTAGTTTACAAGGTGTTTAATAAATCATTTATTTATTTCAACGCAACTATGATAAAACACACAATGGAGAAGAGAAAGAGAGAACAGAAATTGTTATTGTTGTTATTGTTATTACATCTCGTATTGTTGGTGTAGGTTATGTGTTCCATTGCAACTTGTTTGTCATCTCGACGAGGTGCGAGTTCGACCGGCATGAGTTCATTGTGGTGTTGTTGTAGAAGTTGAATAACTTAGGGTAGTTGGTGTGCGACCGTAGTCGCTTGATAGGGGCGAAGCCCCGAAAGAGAGAGAGATAGAAGTTAAATGGAACTAAACTGAAGGTGACACCGAAGCGGAAGACTGCCACTGCCGCCCGGAGCGCGCTCTTTATACCTCCCAGAAGAGGGCGGTATATATACCTGTGCTAGTAGGCGGTCCGGTGGGCATGGCAATTTGGAATTGGTTGTAGTTTGTACGCGGTAAATTCAAAATGTATATGCCGTGGCTCGGCACTTGTTTGTTGTAAACAGGGCTTAGCCTTAGGGTATTTAGGTGTCCAGTCTTTATCATGACTGGGAAGTCAGTACACTGAGAGCATACCCTGTGTAGTACTAAAATTTGGTAAGTCTTGCGAAGGAAATAAATAAAGAAGAGATGTTGTCATAGTATGCCATTTTTAGTGACTAGTTTGTCGTTTTTTGCTCCGTTTCTCGTTTGCTCGTTTGGTAGGACTCATCAATAATGATCATTCTTTGACTTGTCTGCTGGGTGGGAAAGCAGGCCTTTTTTATGAGCAGCTTTGGGAGAGGATTAAACAATCAAACACACAACAAACAACATAGTACACACGTACATAAACAACGCAGTTCCGCTTCTGAAGAGAATCTTTCCATGGACTTCAACCTCTGGGGGAGGGGGGTCATATTTGAGAATTTTCGCCGGCGTCTCGCTTGACCATGATGGGTACTCCATCCGGACCAATGCATTTCCAATTTTCATCTTCCCAAAGCACAGCGAAGCTCATCCTCCCGGAGCGCGATGAGATCGGCTGTGGACTTTGCCCGTGAAATGTTCTTGTGAGGGAGCTCCTCGCTCAGTAGCCCCTGGAATACTCTTCTTTCCTCCTTCGGACTACGGCTGGCTTCTTCAGGATGGCGCCGATGCCGCTCTTCACACTCCCCTGTCTTGAGTAGCCCGATGCCGGGCTTTGGCCAGTCTGAAGACGAACTTCTCTGCGTTTCTGCTTTCCAACTTCTCGTACAAGGCGTCCATCTTCCGTGTTCTTCGCCTTGGCGACGGCAGCCTTAGCGAGCCTCTTGCAACTCTTGTAGGCAGCGAGGTCCTCGGGGCTCCGGGTCTTCTGCCAGCGCTTGTATGCTTCCTTCTTCTGCTTCACGACTCGCTGGACCTCCTCGTTCCAGAACCACGCTGCCTTGTCTCCTCTGAATCCACCTCGTCTCGCCCAGTACCTCCTTGGCGCATCGTAGGATGATCTTGGCAGCAGACCTGCTGAACTGTTCCCTTGGAATTTAGGAGAATAGCGGCGCTGTCGCGCGCGATTACTTGCGCGGCGCCGTGCGGCACTTTTTGGATGGGCGCGGCAACAACAGACTATTCGATTGGAGCGACAGATTTGCTGCGGTCCACATTAACCCTTTTGGCCGTGGACCATGGGACGATTCTGTTGATTCTGATTATGAATCTAAATTATGAAATGATGAAATTGAATGAATCTGAATTATGAAATGAATTATGATTATGAATCTTCTGATTATGATTCTAAATAATATCAATACTGTAGATGTAGAGGCACACAGCGATATAATAGCGAATTTCGAATAATACAATAGCGAGTTTCCCTATAGTGACGTTCCCTGAATGGATAGTGGGCAATACTGTAAAGACCACCTATGGCTTTGTTTGGACCGCAGCACATAACCATAAAAACAAACAGTATGGAACAGAAAACGAAGTAGCATGGCACTGACCAAAATGTCTAAGGGAGAAGTCGGTATAGCGTCCTTTTGAAATTCAAAGGAACGCCGCACGACTCGTCCACTACAGTCGCGACGTCGCGGCCGCGACCACAAGCGCGGGTCTCCGGACGATTCTGTTGCTACACACTCGTGCTGGGGAGCCACTTCTTCACCAGGAAGTACCTTTATGCTTCACTGTTTTGAGGGATGATCTTTTTTACGAGCACATGGTCGATTTCCGTTTGTCGTCCTCCACTGCTGTAGGTGACCTTCTGAGTCTCCCTTTTCGCGAAGAACGTGCTGCAGATTGCCAGATCGTGGGCCGTAGCCAGGTCCAGGACCCTCTCTCCCTCGGCGTTCCTCACTCCTATCCCTCTACCTCCGTGCACCCTTTCCAGGCCTCTTCTGTCACTGCCGACGTGACCATTCAGATCACCTGCTATGGTCAGGTAATCGCCTTCCGGAATCGATCTGATGGCATCGTCAAGGCTCAGATAGAACTCGTCCTTATCACTTTCGGGGCATCCGGCTTGCGGTGCGTACACGGAGAGTATGGTCCAGTACCCCTCCTTCGTGTCTATCCTCACAGCCATGATCCGATCGCTGATCCTGTTCACAGCGGAGACATAGTCCTTGAGCGACTCCGCTACCGCTATGGCCACACCGTTCCGCTTGGTGTCTTCTCCATTGTAGTAGAGTTTGACACCTTCCCCGATTTCCCTGGCCTTAGCACCTTTCCATCGCGTCTCCTGAAGGCATATTACTTAGATCTTGGATCGGACTCGTGGTTTTTCGTGGTGCAGACATGAGTCTACATTTTTAACCACTCCGCCATCCCTACCCTCATGGGCCGTCATCGAAACGTAAAGAGGTGGTGAGCATTGGAATGTTAGAGGCAAACCCAGGATTCACCTTCAACTCTACCTTGATTTCTTATAAGCTGCCTTTTTATTGCAAACTCCGCCCTAAAACACCCCCAATATTGACGTGAGCTGTACTCTGTGACCAGTCCTGTGTTTATAGTCGGCTATATACCAAGCGATAGAATAGAAGGAATTCGTGTGCAGATGGCAACCTCTGCTTCAGCTGAGCCGCTGGCCATGGGTTCCCGTTGAAACCTGGAGAAAGAAAGAAGAAGAGAAAAGGGAAAATAAAGAAAGAATTGAAGAAACGCAACCTTCTTAGGCATTATCCGCATGCAGCCAGTACCGCAACCTTTTTGCACTGCATTCAGTTGATTTTCCTCACAGCAGCTTCATCTAAATTCACAGGCCAGTTTATCGAAGACTTCGCTGGTCCAAAATTCAAGCTTATCACAGAAGAAAGGAGTGCTTCCGTCAGAGCATGGTCTCCTTTATCAGTTCCGATAGCAGACATTCTGAGGTAGTTTCGTCGGGTCCAGATAACGCCGAGCTTATAAAACCTAGCGCCACGCCCTGTATCTACTGCACGGAGCAATGCTGTAAGTTTCTTCGATGGAATATCACATGGCTCTTACTGATCATTCTTTTTTCAGGTCCCTTGTGGTTATCATTGCCCTTGTTGGCTCCACCGCTGCCACTACAGGCCTCGATGCCATCCAGGTAAGAAAATTTATTCAAATAAAAGATTGTCTACTTGCAAAATGAATAGGTCTGTGTGAGTGGTGCATACCACGTGCATAGAAATCTCATCACGGCTCACTAAATCTTCTACCACTGGTGCAGTCCGTACTAAAGGAAATACATATACGGGCACTAGTGGTGTGATGAAAAATGTGCAACATAACGCACACCTTATTTAGAGTTTATATCCTGCTCAGGTCAAATAAGCTTTTCGTTCCTTTGGTGTCCAGTAAGCAGTGCCGGACTATTTAGTATGGATGGAAAAAATTGATTCGATCATGGACTGGTCCTCACAACTTTTTATTTTGGTCATGTTACGTTCAAATGCCATTACGACTCAGCATAAAAATGGAACGAGCGGCACATCTTCAAACGAGAGTTTGCGATTTCGCACTTCTCTTTTGCTTTTCCTTACAGATCCCATCATCGACTGACCCTCACAAGTTTTCAAGAGCTTCCCAGAACTTGTACTTAACACATTGCAGCTCGAAGAGTATGCACGTCGAAAGTCCCATATCTGGAATTTGTGCATCGCCGGATATGCACATAAACTTAAAGACCTCCTTTAACATTTTCTCATTAATTTTGTGACTATAGAACTTCCACTAGTGCACTGAATCCACTCAACACAGGGGCGCTCACCAACTTCCATTTCCACAGATTTTGCAACTCCAATTTGCACAGTCAGGGCCTCAATTTGAGCCCACAAAAGCTAATCATAGTGTTTTTCCAATGGCTGCTATTTCCCGATTACAACCCGGTCAAAAAATAGCAATAGGCAAAAAAAATGAGGAAAAGCAGAACAAAGAAAGCGCAAACGCAACACCCGGGAGGGGTTGCAGTTGAGATTGTGTGGGTCCTGTGGCGAAATACATGGGTCTTGTAGCGAGATATATGGGTCCTGTAGAAATTCCACAAAATGTCCCGAATGTGAGATTTGTGCATCGCCGGGTATGCACGCAGGTAATGCAGCTATGTCACGAGTGAAAGGCGCCAAAATTGTGCGCGCGTCATTGTGGCAACCCATCGCGTACCGCGGCGTTTTTTGGCTGGCCGGCGCGTGTGGCCGGCGCCTATTTAGACCCCCGCCGCGTGCTGCGCGATCCATATAAAACTTTCATTTATATTATAAACATCTATTATATAAGCACAGTACATATATCTTATACATTTACAATATTTCACGTTTACTTTTGGTCAGTGGAATTGATTATTATCGCATGTATTTTGAAGAATATAGGTAGGGAAACAAGAGATAAGAGTGATTAAACGTAGTCGTTTTGATTGTTTCATAAGCACGAGGTTGTCACACAACCCACAGCCACAGCCCACACAGGGGCAACGGGTTAATATAACTCGATAGGGCAGTTTCGACCGTTGCAAAGTGGAATCAGTTCGATGATTTAGTTGAGTCTCTTTAAGATCAAACCTTCTCTGAATTGAATTCATTATACTTTAACTGGCAAAAGCGACTGGCGTTATCATTGTGGGGCTCAGTCTTTCTCAAGGGGGTACCATTTCATGAAATTTATCATGATCACCTCAGACTATTTTCTCGAAAAGGCTGCAAAGAGGTTTGATTCCCAGTCATCCGTTTAGCCCGCCGATTTTTCGTCGATCTGGAAACCAAGTTGATTTGGCCAATTGACATTTGTGGTGTTTGCTCAGACTTCCGACGTCAGTAACAAAGAAATTGCCGCAGTGATTTGACGCACGGAGTGAACTATAGTGAACTAACTTCAGTGATAAGATAGCGGCAGTCTCCACCAAACCTAAATAACCGAAAATTCCTCATAGATTTTCAAAACTGCCTGAAGCTGGCAATAACATTCATATTTGAATGAAATTGAATTAGTAAATAATTAGTTTTTGTTTAGTCTATGTCCGCGAGTACCTTCACATGTTTGAAACAGAACGGGTACAGCTTCTTCATTGCTCGCGCATGGGAAAGTGTCGGCAATTACGATGAGACTGGAATTCAAAACATGAAGAACGCTCGTGCAGGTAATTAATTCCAAATAAGCCACCTACAAATTCGAAACCATGCTCCGAGTGACGGCACCGTGAACATCATCTCGAATGCGTGTGTGCATGCCGTGCCACAGTCCCCAGGAGGTGCACAGACACACGCTATCACACTCATGACCCCCCCCCTGCTCCGATCACTCGACTTTCGTCATTGCTGACTGCGGCGGATGTATAAGAAGTGGGCGGCAGTCAGCAGAATCGTCCGGCAGTGACGCCGTCGCGCGCGATCACTTGCGCGGCGTCGTAACGCGGCAGTTTTTGATGGGTGCCTTATTCGAATTTGACGATTGGAGCAATGATTTACTTCATGGTTTACTTCATTCGAATGATTCCCAAGATTATTTTCGTAGAAGCGACACCTTTTTGTACTTAAAGGGATCTTCTACGGACCATGTACCAGTGGGAGGGACC